GGACACACTGTTTAAACAATCTTATTGCATTTGTCAATGAGTGTGTTTTAATTATTATTATTATTGATGAAGGTTCTCAATATTGGAGTTACATCTAACAATTCAAATATATACTTAAAGAAGAGTGCTGAAAAATGTACTTATGTTATATATCAGAAAGCAATGCATCTGAAATGAACAAATAATAAATTTGCATTTTGATTTAGACAAGTACATTTATAAATCTTATTTAAAAAAATGGTTATTGATGTACTGTTTGTAATATATTAATAAGTAGGGCAAAAAGAAATTTTGTACATATCATGTAAGAACTTGAAGAAAAAACATAACAAACTGCTTCTAGTATTGTATAATCAAGGCCATACGAACAGGAACTGTCGGACTACTTTTTGCAACCAATGGTACAAATACAATTATAATTTCAAATCACTAGCTAGTGTGCAATACTGTCAGACAAAACCACTAAACTTTTCTGAAGGAGGAAAAGGTTATATCTAAGGTATTACTTTCTCCTTCCCCATCAATACATATCCTTATTTAGAAATATTTAGAAAGTAGAAAAGTAGAAATAACTAGTGAAATCTTTAAAAATAAATTAGGAGATCACGACCGCAATCATGGCAACCACTCTCTTTTTGGGCTAGGACCACTTTTTTCTACTTTCCAACGTTCCTGAAAACCAAGGTATTATAATTTGCTGAAAATATAGTATCAAAGCAAATATTATTCTTTAAATAAAGAAGTTCAGAAAAATTGAAAGTGATTAGTAACCATACAACAGCAAAGTAAGCATAGTAATCTAGATTTAAGCAATTCATCCAATATTTATAAGATATAAAAAACAAAAGAAAATGTTATATCATATACAGTAAGACCCCACTTAATGCTAGGGATGCATTCCTAGACAACAAAGCGCTAAACGAAACAGCATTAAACAAAGTAATTTTAACAGAGTAAATAGGGATATGTGATCGAAAATTGAGTTATTTTTATATTAATTTGTATAATAATATATGTTAAATAACATATAAACATATGCACACAGAAATGTATAATAATATATTAATTTGTTCATTTTTTGTGACAAAGGTCCTGACTTTTCTGAAATTCTTGTTTTTTGCAATAAAGTCGCGAAGTTTCATTTGTCACTTTTTTCTTTCCTTAAGCAAATGTCGCTAGCAGAAGATCGCATCCAAAACACCACGTTTTTGCTTTTTTACCCCTTCAAAATCTGGATCATTTGCTACAATTTGATCAATGATTTTGGTTATCGTCACCAAACTTTTACTAAAGAAATCTGTAGAGAAATTTTTTGGTTCTTCATTTTCAGAATCACTATTTTCCAGTTGCATGTGAATTCCTTGTTCTGCCAGTTCTTGAAGATCGTCATTGATAAGACTCTCACCAGAAACCTGCGGTAGCTCCTCAATATCCTGTTCGTCTACATCTCCTAGTCCTGCCATATCGATTAGGTTGAGTTTGATCAACCTAACAACGATACAGCGATAGGCTCTTCTCGTTGAGAATTCTTGGATATCTTCAGTCATAACTTCTTCCACACTTCGTCCGTGCATTTATCAGTTAATTCTTGCCAAGCAAAGCCGATATAGCCTATGGCATCCGTGATGTTATATTTTTTCCAAAACTGCACCAAACAAACATAGATTTAAAGAAACCACACCTTTTTCTGATTGGTTCGTGCTTGTAAATAATTGTATTATGTACGAACCAATAAAATGCAGTGATAATTTAAATCAGCATAAATTCTTAGCCTTTTTTTTAAGACTTCGACCAGACGGCATTATATGGAATCAGCATTAAGTGAGGCAGCGTTAAGTGGAGTCTTACTGTACAGTACAGTATAGTACATGGATTTAATGAATAATACATATACAATATAGGGGTAGAATTAAAATTTGCATATGTAATATCAATGCAATTAATATTACTATATATGCAATATTTAATATTAATACAACTGAAATATATAAAGTACTAAACACGTGTCAAAATTTGAAACTTTCGATATCGATGATTTAATTAAAACTTTTTTTTTATTTATTGTATTTTATTATTTAAATAGCCTAATAACCATTACTTTTAAATAAATTTTTAAAAATTATAAATAAATCAAATAGATAAGAGGATGAAATTTACGAGTTTAGTAATTCTATTAAACATCGTGTTCCTCTTTTCGACCGAACACAGAATGAGATCCGGAGAGGAAACTATACGACGTGACTCCACCACACGGCCTCTAATGAAAACAGTTAAAATAATAATAATAATAATAATACAGTAATAATAATTCTAGTATATAATTCAAAATGAACGAAATTATTACAAAAGTTTACTTCTAGCCCCTGGTATAATTATATTAATTAAATTATCAACAACCGTGAGGCTACCTCCCAGCATTAAAAATAATATACAAAAACAATTGATCTGATAAGCCCTCACTATTATCAGAGTCGGTAGATTAACTGGTCTTTCGACTAATAGTTCAAACTTAGCTAGAGACAATATTTGCCGCTAGTCGGCGCCACTGTTAGCAGGAGATCGTTGTTCTTGCTAGGTATATACTGAAGTCAGTGATTTTGACCTATAATAATTGTTTTTTTAGCTCCATAAAAATGCCAACGTGCTTTGTGCCNTATCACTAACTTAGGATACTTACAAATTCAAACTTGTGTGTAGATTTTATTAAAACCAATTTATTACCGATTTCATATTCAAAATTGATGGCAAGAAATTTCTCACAGAGCAATTTAATAATAATTAAATTTGTACACTTTAATTTAAATATTTTAAACTTTTAATTCGATGGCATTATGGAAATGCGTCGCGCTTTCATTTAAAAATACGGATTTTGTTCTCACTTCAGGCAAGCCTTTTGAATAATTTAATAATTTCAGAATAACAAATTTTTAAAGTGAAAACTTCGGCCGCAACCTCTCTGTTATCTCACGTATCGTACCGAATGACCAATCTAACACAGTTAAAAATTCTTTATTCCTCTACTGTACACAGTTTAGAGAATTTTTAAAATGTGTTAGATTGGGCACTCGATATGATAAACTCTTACGTAAGATAACCTTTGTAACTATAAATCAAATACTATAATGGAAGGGTTTTTTTTTAACTCTTTCCGCCCTGTGGGCTCTAAGAGGGCCGCTTTTGCAAGCCCATTATGGGTTCGGCTAGGCCCACAATGGGGCTGCCGGGTTGTGAGGGGCGGGGTCCGACATATCCGAACGACCACCCCTGAAAAATTCCTGATGTTTTTTTCTACCCGTTCGGATTCGAGCCCGGGTCCCCCAGGGTGGTGGGATGACACCTTGGCCGCTCGGCCATCCGGCCGCATAATGGAAGGGTTAGAAGTACGAAATAATCTAATAATCTTAATCTTTGCTGTTGTTTTTTTTTGCCCGAGCAACGCCGTCCTCATCTGCTTGTATAATTATGAATTTAAACAAATATTAGCATTAATACATCCATTTCCATTATTTAGAAATTTTATCTTTGCGTTACACCGTATCAATCGAGAATATGTAAATTACTAATCAATATATTTTCTATTTTTAATCAGAATGATAAAACTTATCATAAAAAATTATCACAGAAAAATATTTATGCGGTTTATTTACGAAAATATTACATAATATGGTAATATTGATAATACAGAAAAAAATATTTTTTAAATTTCTTTTTAGTAAAACTGGCAACACTTATCATAATAATTAAATCGCCATTTGACTGGAAATGCAGCAGCGTGACAGATGCTTAACGTTTCGCTTGAAATGTTTTACAGATATTAATGTATATAAACGTAATGGTAGTATCCTGTGCAGCATTTAATTGCTCAAATACATTCGTCAAAGGTAGTGGTGTCACATTTCATAGNAACCAATTTATTACCGATTTCATATTCAAAATTGATGGCAAGAAATTTCTCACAGAGCAATTTAATAATAATTAAATTTGTACACTTTAATTTAAATATTTTAAACTTTTAATTTGATGGCATTATGGAAATGTGTCGCGCTTCCATTCGAAAAATACGGATTCTGTTCTCACTTCGGGCAAGCCTTTTGAATAATTTAATAATTTCAGAATAATTTTTTAAAATGAAAACTTTGGCCGCAACCTCTGTTATCTTACGTAAGGGTTTATCGTACCGAATGACCAATCTAACACACTTTAAAATGTGTTAGATTGGGCACTCAATATGATAAACTCTTACGTAAGATAACCTTTGTAACTATAAATCAAATACTATAATGGAAGTGTTAGAAGTACGAAATAATCTAATCTTTGCTGTTGTTATTTTTGCCCGAGTAACGCCGGCCTATACAATATAAATGGAAAAATAAATAATAGTGTATATAATTGTTGGTATAATGATTTAAATGTCACTTTTTTTTTTTTGATAATTTTTTATATAATCAACATGTTTCCCTTAATATATTGTCTTTATTTATACAGGCTAGGCGTAATTCATTGAACTTTTTAAATTATTTGAGAATCATGTAACTTTTGTGTTGAGAAAGAAATTATGGATGCCTGGCATATTTTGGCTAAATGTGAGTGTCTTAAAGTGCTATGAAAAGAAATTTTTGGTTGCAAAGTTCTCACCATGTCTTTATTTCTTAAAATTTTATTGGAATCATGTTATCAATTTAGTGTTTTGTTTTCTAAGAAAATCTGTTGATCTTTTGTTTGGAGCGTCATTCCTCAACTGTAAATTTCGCCTTATTGCTGGTGTTGTTTGGGAGCATTTGTCAGTGCTGTGTCTTCGTTACTAACTTATTTCTTTTTTATAGGTAAGCAATTTGCTTATTTTTGGTTTATTTTTTATTGATATTTTGTATTTTATTGATAGATGCTCCCAAGCTTTAAATAATTACTATATTTTAATTTTAAACTTACCTTAATATTTAAATTACTCAAAGTGGATTTCTTTGGTAAATTATTTCAATAATAATTATTTGCTGTTTATTGATTTTACTGTTTTTTTTTATTTCAGAATTAAATTTTGACAAGAATATAAGAATTATGGTAAAGTAGATATCTATCTAAACATATATGATGTATGCTTGATAAACTTATTTTAATGATAGCTGCAATATTTTATTTACACAATTGGTCTCATTAAATGGGTTAAGTTGTTCCAAAACAAAACTATTTACAAATTTACATTTTTACATTAAACAGAAATTATTCATTGTAATGTCAACTTGGCAGATTTTCTTCTTTCATCTCACCTTCGAGATACTCTTGCAATTTTGCTAGAATTCCTGAGAGAAAAAAATTGAGGCAATTAATATGGTCATTGTTGCAAAAATTTGCATTACAGTTAAATTGATTACAGGAAACGTAAAGTATATATTTTGTACAAGTTCAAGGACAGTACTTACCATCTCTTTTGGAAGATGTAATTTTCTCCCAGTTTTCCGTAAAGGAGTCATCTGCCATCTTGTTCCAATCACTCATCAATAGAAGATTTAGACAGCAATATCTAAGAAACTATTAAGTAACACATTTGTATTCTAGAAACTTCAACATTGTTATTTTTTTAAGAGACAATAAATAAACTAATTTATCAAAAAGATGCCATTTGCTTACAAGATGATCTGAAGATGCATTGTCAGAGCCATTTTTCTCTTGTGACATGTTAACAGAAATTTGTAGCTAGATCCACTAGCAGCAATCTGCTAGTGGATCTAGCTACAAATTAGCAATTTTTGATGCTGCTGTTTACTGTGTTTGTGTGTGTGTGAAAATATTTTAAAAACTACAAATCTGAGAATACAAAAGGATACTCGTTCCATGCAGAATTGCAGAAGTCTTCGTACATCTCTTGCATCTCAAAGAAAGAGGGCCTCGTCTGCGTTCTGTAACACGCCGCCGGATCCCTTGCCATCATTCTCACACTTTCATCTATTTTCTGTTTTTGTTTGTTTATTTCCACGCAAATGTCGCGTAACTTTTCTCTGGAACATACAAAAAACTTTATATTAATGCAAAATTTGACAACCTACCACATGCAGACACTATAGAATGTTCCCTGTACAAAAAAATAGGTTATCTAATTCCCATTTCAATTTCTTACTGGATTATCTCAATTTTTTTTATATACAAGGCATTAATCCTTGTTTTATAGATTGTAAATTCAAATCCCACTTTGTGTATTTGAATGTTGTTTGATTGGAAAGTGTAGTTTGGTTTCAACAGTAAAACTGTACTTGTACAATGTTACTGTTGCAACCACATGTGTGATCTGCCAAGGAGGAGTGCCTCCCTGGAAGACATTCTATGGGAAACTGGCCTGTAGTTAGGCATAGACAAAAGAAACCTGGAAACTACGCAGCCTGCCCATTGGCAATCTGCATTCGACTATTGTGGAGATCTAGACAGGCCATTTATTCATAGGATATATTTCTAATACCTAAATCTTTATTTTATTAAGGGTTTCTTAAAGCAGAAAGCTTGATAAAATTTATTAATATTTTTGTTTAATCAATGTGATAAAAGTCACAAAATTAAAGCCACATCCTGTCAAAAACTGATGCTACTCTGTACTTTTATGGATAAAGAGGAAATTAAATTTCCTTTAATTGCCCTTATCTTGATTTTCTCACACATCTCCACAGAACATCTATCATCTGAGTAGGTAGAAAATCCTATTGGTCATCAGTTCATCCCGTCAGCTGAATCAAATTATGAAGTTTGATTGGAGGAATGTACCAATAAAAAGGGCATATCCCCATTTTTCAAGACAACAGTTCACAGAGAAGAGATGGCCATAGAACCTGACATCAATGTAGCCGAGACACATATTAAGACTGAATAGCTAGAGGTATTATTTAAACCTATGTAAAACTCTCTCAGTTTCCAGGTTTAAGTCAAGAGAAATTCCAGTTAATTCAGGGATAGAATATTGCTTTGTATTAGTCATAGACTGTGTACTGTTGTCATTTATATATATGTTTTGTAAAAGGACATGTTTAAATTCTTTATCGGACTCCTATCACTTAACCACCCTCCTTCCCACTCATCAATTTTAAAGCCCTCCTTATAAGAATTTACTCTAATAGGGCACAAGGTAAATCCCTATCTGGTGTCAGACCCGAGGTTGATCGGGATTTCAGGATCCACGAACTAGATATAACCTACAACCATCCCAAGACACAGAGATCAGGTTCTCCCTACCCATGCTGAGTAAGTGGTCAGAAGAGAACGACCCCTGGCCCCCGGATGCTCACACTATCAGTATTAAATAGTTTCATTCATTTGGCCACCAGTGGGTCACTTTTTGAATCAACGTATTAAATATATGTAAAACAGTATGAGTACAATACTCACAATCTTTCAAGTAACACACTTCTTTCTCTCTCGATATTAGTGTAGAAAATTTCTTTTAAGTCTGCCTGGAGGCTCGGAAGTTCGTCCGACAAAGGATCGCCTTCCATGTTTACATCATTTGTCAGTTTATATTTCTGGCTCAAGGCGGCGATGTACTCTACGGACATTTCTTTTCTTGTAGCCTTCCACTCTTGTTCTCTCTGCGATAAATTGACGAAAGCACCTCGTAATTGCTTCTCCATTTCATATCTACAAAAACAAACAAATGGAAAGCAAATGAACTTTTGCATGTCTACTTGGAACCTAATGTTAAACACAAGACATTATCTAAGTCTACGTTAAGTGCATTTCCATTTGTAAATTAGAAGCGCAGACTCACACGCTTCTAATTTACATATGGAAGTAGAGGAGGCTGCTGTAAAATGTTCATTCTGGTAGTGTCCCGAGAATGTTTTTTGTACAGATAAGTACAGTACTTGCAGTTTATAACAATAGATGACGCTACCGTTTCAAACAGTCCTCTATCATCATTTGGACGCCATGTTTGAAAGTGCTGCCGTAAATCGCCTGCGCCAGTGCTTGTGTATCCGCCATTGATTTAACTGTTCTGCGCGGTGTTTCTACCTTCATTGATGAAACAATCAATCTGTTTAAGTGTTGCTAAACGATCGTTTAAATAGATATATCGGCGATAATATTGTAAGATTGCGGTCGCGTTTTCTATTTTAAGATGGCGTCCAAATGATGATGAGACTAACATAAACTCGAAACCGGTAAAAGTCCATTCTTACTACATTGGGCATTTTTTTTTCTAATTTTGCTCTCTTAAGACACCTAACAGGCTTGTCCTAAACAGAAATTTTTCGGGGCAACGCGTTTAATAAGAGCTATAAACGAAAACTCATCGAATTACAGTACTTACACGGTGGAAGCCGCCATTGCTTAACCTCGTTCACATCGCGTAGTAGCACGTTGGACGGCGTAAAATAAAATAAATTAAAATATCGATACGACTTTTAGTTTCCGTTATAACGATTACTTAAAAAGCAATAATTTATTATTTTTTTTCGAGAATCATTTTTATGGCTATATTAATATTTCAATAATGTTGATTATTATTAATAAATAACTTTAGGCTGCCTAACTTTAACCGAAATAATACGTATTTTTACCCAGACACTCACCTTCACAGCGCCTCCTCTGCGTCTCCCGCAAGAGGAGGCGCTGTCCTCTCGCTATTTGGCGACGTCTAGGCTGTTGCTGATGTTGATGCCGTGAGGCCGCTGGTCTCCTCCTCCGCTTGGTCCTTCGAGTCGGCGACGAAGGTGTTGGTTCTGTCCGATGTCTGAAAAATCACATAATCTGCAAAGAACTATCCTTTGGTCGCGCGCACTATATACAAGCTGCACTACTCACAGGGGTGTCGTCATCTCCCTGCGGTTCCTCTTCGCCAGGAACATTGGGCTCGTCTGGCGGCTGATCTTGGTCCACGGGCACACCGATCGTCTTCAGTTGGAGACTTTCACGACCGGGGCCCGGGTAGACGGCCACAATATGCTCGACGAACTGCCGGAATTTTGCCGCTGGTGTTGGCAACTGGGACAGAAGCTTGATGTTTTGTTGCTGAGAAACGGAAACCTCCGCAACTTCACGGAAGATTTTAAACCAATCTACCGCTGTTTGTATAGCCACGTCGCATTCTCTCGCGGCGAGGGTGACCGGCTGCTTCAAGATCCATGAATATATCAGCATTAGGACCTGTTAAATAAAAAAAAAATTATCTCATTTACTACATACAATTACTACTAAACATTTGCACATTTGATTTACTGAAAGACATTCCCGACAGTTCCCTTGTGAGTTGTCCAATCTATTCACTTTGTTTACCCCTCGGGCTACTGATTTTCTGTCTTATATACGAGTCGCCAGGCACACCCTAATGGAGAGGGTGAACAGAAACATTCCAGAAAGACGAGACAAAGAACAAAGGAAAGAAAAATATGGTTACCGAAAATATAATGCCAATGCCACGATATCATACCTTTTGAGCCGAGAGCTTAGCTCTTTCAAAAAACGTATTCTTGGTACAAGAGATCGCGCCGGTACACTTGGCTCTCCAGACGAAGCCGCCAGTTCGTCTCCTCTTTTTTTCTTTTTCTTTTAATTTCACACAGCGGTAGATATATCCGAACTTCTCCGACGGATCCGATTTCTTCTCCATCGCGCCTGAAAAATAAGACAAATTGAATTAGATAACAGGTATCCGCGTAAGGCACTCATGGCACAGGCAGAAATAAAGGAAAACTTACCTCCGCAATGAGGACAAGGCGGAATGAAACTGGTTAAGTCCGGATGTGGAACCATTCCCACCAGATGACAAAATTTCTGGGCTGCATCTTCGGTGGGAAAATAGCGATAAAATGAGAAACACGTCAAGTTTTCGAAAATTTCCGATGGATTAACATCGGAGCTCTCAGAAACGGGTTCCATACAAAACGGCATTTTCAAATAAAGTAACGAACAGTACGAACAATGTTGCCAGTTAATGAATGAAATTATCTTATATTTTCAATATTTTAGTATACTGATTAATATTATAATTAACATTTTAATTATTTATAACGTTAATTTTATTTTAATAATATTACATTTAATTTAAACTGCAAAAAAAGAAAACGTATATATTTATATTGAAAATATAAACTATATAAAATTATAAACTAAAATCGGCAGGTGGCGCTTTGTGGATGACTCGAGGTTTTCGGTACAGAAACGTCGTGTAGGAAGAATTGTCTGCGATTTGATTATAATTGATAAAGTTTTATTTATTTTTTTAAAATGGGTACCGAAAGATACGATCGTGCAATCACCGTTTTCTCTCCCGATGGTCATCTTTTTCAGGTCGAATATGCGCAAGAAGCCGTCAAAAAAGGATCGACTGCTGTAAGTTGTAATTTGGAAATTTCATATATTATTCCGTTTTATATGAATTTCGTGTTGTACGAGTCACTTAGATTTTACAAATACGTGAGCCGTTCACAGCCCGGCACACGTATTTGTAAAATCTAAGTGACTCGTACAACATGGAATTCATATAAAACGGAATAATCAACAGTGTTATAGGGGGTCGACTGTAATAATGGAACGGGTGCGAAATTCAATTTGAAACGAGGATGATAATTGCATTTCACTCGTTATCGTCACTATAAACTGATTTTCATATGAAAATTGATCATTTTTATACTCCTTGTGCATGTTATTAAACCTAAATCTTCAAAATATTTGATAGATATTATTTTCAGGTAATCTGTATTGTGTAATATGTATATAGAAATTACTTAAGTACCGTATCATTAAATGTATAATAAACACATCCGTTTGGTACAGTTACGCCTGTGAATGAGATGATTGTGATCTTACTTAGATCGTATCTGGAGGAGTAAAAAAGTCAAAGGAACCGTGCCCCCGCGTGTGATCTTTTGCCGTATGCGGTTTATGAAATCTGCCTACTTCTAGGTTGCGTGTGATCAGGAGTCGCGTTGCTCCGTTAAGTATTGTGTTTAACTGTTTAGCCCAAGTGACTATGCTGGCTTTGATTAGCCACTTGACTGTTTGTGGAGTGCTTGATGTTATATAGTTTTAGGGGGTCCTATAGTTGGAACTCGTCCTGTAGATGCTGAGGTGCTCGCTGTTGCTTGCGGTCTGGGTGAGCGATAGTGAGTCTTGACCGATGGGGAGTACGGAGAATAGGCAGTAGAACTAGTATGTGGTAAAAACTGACCTTTGGAGACAAATATCTTGTAAAGGGTTGCATATATGAGTATGATTTATTTGACTCTAGTAAACTCTATAGTATACAAGAGTACCAAAATCTTTGTACTCTTGTATTCTATAGAGTTAATGTTATTATTGTGTATTTCTATTACTGAAGAGGAACTGTTAAGTGATACACAATATGCATTTCAAACTGTAAGTACATCTCTTTGATAATAAAAAAGGACTGTTGAAATGATCAGAGTAATTTTTATTATATTCATTATTTTAAAGTGACTTTTCTTTTAAAAGTGAGAATTATTGAGATTCTTGTTATTTATTTCACATTTAGAATGTTCATTTTATATGTAATTAAATTCTTTTAAATTTTTTAATGACTTTCTATTAATAGTTAACAGAAATAATTTAATCAGTTTAGAATTAGGATATGACAGTTTTAGAATTTATGAGTGTGTATCAGATTGTTTCAACCTTTTTCATTTAAAATGATGAAGAAATTAGGCAAATGTATTATATACAAATACATTCAATGAAGTAACCCTAGAAGTGGAGACAAAAAACCAAGTAAAACATTGTGACTGGTGATGAGTGCTAGGCATACCATTTTATGCCTGAATCCAAGAAGGACAGGTATGGAAGCATATTGGATCTAGTGTTCCAAAAAGGTCACGACATGTCTCGCAGCTAGTAAGATGAAAGTGACTGATTGTTCTGGGATGTTTGAGTTGTGCACATAGAGTTCAGTCAATGAGGTGTGACAATCAACATAAATTGTTATTACGAACCTTTCACTTGTCTTGTTTATATCAAGCTATCTGGAGATAGAGGCCTGGGCTGGAAGAACATATCATTCTTCTGCTCCATGACAATGTTTGTCCACATGTGGCTTACATTGTGTCTAGAAAACTGGTACTTTTCAGATGGAAAATTCTTGATCACCTTTCTTACAACCCTGATCTTGCTTATCTCAATTATCATCTTTTTGGGCCAATGAAGGGAGTGTTTATAGGAAGGAAATTTCATGATAACCAGGAGGTTCAGACCAAGGTGTTGCATTGGCTTTGCTCAAAAGAAACTGCATTTTGAAACTTGTGAGGTTGTGGGACAGGTGCATTAATGTTAATGGATCCTACGTCAGAAAAATAGCTTATTATATCTTCTTTCATGTGTATTCATTTTATTTGGCATTACTTCTTTTGTGTGTTGTCAAAAAATAAAAGTCAAAACTTTCTAATACACTCTCATATTAAAATGTTATTCTGAGGATAGAGGTGTAAACAATTACTTTTAAACATTAGCTTTCAATATTTTAAAAGAAATTTTATAACTTTTATCTGTACAATAACTTTTTAATAAACTGAAATAAAAATTAAATGATGTTTAAATTGATTAATGTAACTTTTTATGGGAAGAATTGTCTGCGATTTGATTATAATTGATAAAGTTTTATTTATTTTTTTAAAATGGGTACCGAAAGATACGATCGTGCAATCACCGTTTTCTCTCCCGATGGTCATCTTTTTCAGGTCGAATATGCGCAAGAAGCCGTCAAAAAAGGATCGACTGCTGTAAGTTGTAATTTGGAAATTTCATATATTATTCCGTTTTATATGAATTTCGTGTTGTACGAGTCACTTAGATTTTACAAATACGTGAGCCGTTCACAGCCCGGCACACGTATTTGTAAAATCTAAGTGACTCGTACAACATGGAATTCATATAAAACGGAATAATCAACAGTGTTATAGGGGGT